CACTGCAACCTCCACCTCCTGGGTTCAAGCGATTCTGCTGCCTCAGCCTCCGGAGTAGCTGGGATTACGGGTGTCCACCACCACGTCTGGCTAATATTTGTATTTTTAGTAGAGACGGGGGTTTGCCATGTTGGCCAGGCTGGTCTGGAACTCCTGACCTCAGGTGATCCACCCGCCTCGGCCTCCTAAAGTGCTGCACTTACAAGTGTAAGCCACCGCGCCTGACCAATTTTGTTCTTTTTAAGGTTGTTTTGGCTATTCTGAGTCCCCTGAATTTCCATATAAATTTTAGGATCAGCTTGTCAATTTCTGGAAAAAGCTCACTAGGACTTTGATATGGATTATGTCGAATGATGAGGTTGGAAGACACCTTAACGATATTGTCTTCCCACCACGGACGCAGGAGATCTTTCCATTTACTTAGATCTTCTTTAGATTCTTTTGGTCATAGTTTGTAGTTGTAGCCTTCAGAATATTTGTTTTGCATTCTTTGGCTACATTTATTAGTAAGTTGCTTTTTAAAATGATTAGACTTTATGTTTCAGAGCAATTTTAGGTTTATGGAGAAATCTATCAGAAAGTACAGCATTCCCACATACCCCTCTCTCCCCCAAAACCCTGCGCTCTACTTCCCCATCATTTACATCTTGCATGAGTTTGGTACCTTTGTCATGATTGATGAACCGATATTGACACGCTCTTCTTAATTGAAGTCCATCCTGAAGCCCACACTGGCTGCTCTTGGTGTGGTGTGTTCCATGTTGGTTAGTTAGTTTGTTTGTTGGAGACAGAGTCTCCCTCTGTCACCCAGGCTGGAGTGCAGTGGTACAATCTCGGCTCACTGCAATCTCCACCTCCCGGGTTCAAGCGATTCTCCTGCCTCAGCCTCCCAAGTAGCTAGAATTACAGGCATGCGCCACCGCATCCGGCTAATTTTTGTATTTTTAGTAGAGACGGTTTTGCCGACGGGAGGGAATTCAGGGAGATACAAAATTCTTGCTACTGTCACCATCTTCCCAGAATCCACAATGATTTATTTATTTATTTTGAGACAGGGTCTTCCTCTGTCATCTGGGCTGGAGTGCAGTGGTACAATCTTGGCTCACTGCAACTTCCACCTGCCAGGCTCAATCTATCCTCCCACCTCAACCTCCCAAGGAGCTGGGGCCACAGGACACACCACCACGCACCACCATGCCCAGCTACTTGTTGTTGTTGTTTTAGGAGAAACAGCGTTTCGCCATGTTGCTCAGGCTGGTCTTGAACTCCTGGGTTCAAGTGATCCACCATCTTGGCCTCTCAAAGTGCTGGGGTCATAGGCGTGGGCCACTGCACCTGCCTATTTTTATTTTTTAACTTTTTATTTTTTTAAAGATAGGGGCCAGGCATGGTGGCTCATGCCTGTAATCCCAGTACTTTGGGAGGCCGAGACAGGTGAACCACCTGAGGTTAGGAGTTCGAGACCAACCTGGCCAACATGCCAGACTCCATCTCTACTAAAAATTCAAAAATTAGCTGGGCGTGGTGGCTCATGCCTGTAATCCCAGCTACTAGAGAGAGGGTGAGGCAAGAGAATTGCTTGAACCCGGGAGGTAGAGGCTGCAGTGAGCCGAGATCGTGCCACTGCACTCCAGCCTAGGTGACAGTGTGAGACTGTATCAAAAAAAAAACGAGATGGGGTCTCACTATGTTATTCCAGGCTGGTCGCAAACTCCTGCACCCAAGCAATCCTCCTGCCTCAGCCTCCCAAAGTGCTGGGACTACAGGCGTGAGCCGCACTGGCCTCCACAAAGCAGTTTTAGCACAGGCAAATGGGTAGAATGTTCAATGGTAAATGGGTAGAACTTCAATAGTCCCTGCTCTAGGTAAATGGCAGCAGCTGTGTGCCCTTTTCTCATCTCGCAGGAGAGCATATCCTGGATACCGGAGGTCACTCTGTAACAGCATGTGGTGCCGTCTGTCTCTTCTTTATCAGCTATCCAAGGTGTGGAGGTTTAAGAGTGTATCTGATTAACCATGTGGATGGCCATGTTTTCAATTTTTCTGTTATACATTATGCTGCAATTAATAGTCTTGGTCACCCATCTTTTTTATTCCTGCCATTTATCTCTGGAATAAAGTCCTACTTGGGGGCTGCTGGGCTGAAAGATAAATGCCCATGTACTTTGCTGGATACTGTCAAACGCTCCTCTGCTCCCACCACTCACGTCTGAGAGCCCTGTTTCTTGACAGTCTTGCCAACAAGGTAAATGAGTGTCAGGGAGAGCCCTGGGCGGAGTGAGCTTGGGGAAGCAGGCAGAGGTGGGAGCAGCAGAGGTGGGAGCAGGGACCTCAGAGGAGGTCCTTATCATCATGTGCTGGGCGGAGCGCTCCCACCTGGATGTGATGGGACCTGCTGGTCGGCCGCTCTGTTCAGGATAGACTGGGGGTGGGGGGCCTGGGGCTGTGGCACCAACTCCAGCAGGACAGGGCGGGTTTGGGCCAGAGCAGCCTTGGAAAGCCATGGCTGGATGATGGAAAGTTTCCAAGACAGAGCTGGCAGGACTTCCTGATGAATTGGAGGCTGGAAAACAGGAGGAACTGGGAACCAGTCCACATGTCTGTACCCCAGCAACAGAAAGGGTAGTGACAAAGGCAGTTGGATTTACCCCGCAAAGTCCTGGAGCATTTGGTTGAGATATGGGGGTGGGAGCAGACGCCTGATGTGTTTAAGAGAGAACTCGAGGGGGGAAATTGGAGAAAGAGTTCCTGAAGAGTGATGCTGTGAAGACAGCAGAGAAGCGCAGGGTCCAGAGAGCTCTTTCTGTTCTGCTCTGTCCTTAAGGATGGGCAGCCCTTCTGCAAGTTTGTGAGTGACTAGAATGATCCACCAGAGAGGCACCTGATAGCCCTAGGAGGCCCTAGTGACTGGGCGGGCGGGGAGGGCAGACCAGCACCCTGGGGAAGGTTGGGGCCCCCCCGGGGGGGGGACAGGGGCCTCCCCTCTCCCCCAGTCTGCTTGTGCCATGATTTTTGCCTCCTTTCTTTACAGCTCTGCTGAGGAATACGTACATGTATGTAACATGTGCACACGCCTGAACTCACACAGGACAACACAAACTGCGAACACCCTAGGCTTCTTTGGCCCCGATGCCCCCACCCTCAGGCCTTGGCTGAGTGAGGTCCCTGGAGGGTGCAGGTGGGAGACCTGGCTGGCTGCCGATGGGCCACGGATGGCCGGTGTGGGCATGAGAGGAAGAGGGTACAGAGGACTCCAGGGTCTTGCCTCAGGACTGGCGGTGGGGGCTGGGGGGGTGCTGGGGTACACAGCAGACTCAGAAGGGCCTGGGGAAGCCATCCTGCCATGTGGCGTTTGAGCTTCCTAATGACATTCAGCAGAAACAGAGCTGGACACAGGAGCCCAGGGTTCAGGGTCGAGGTCTGGGCACCACTGGCAGCCACCCAGGAGAGTAGTGGGCCGCCCAGAGGTAGGGTCTGAGTCTCCCTGAGGAGGGGCCTGGGGCCTGGAGTGAGTTCTGAACTGCAGCTTACGCTCTGCCTCTTCCTGGGGCCACCACACACAGTCCAGGACTGTTTCTGGCCTGCTGGCCACACCCCCTTGCACTTCAGCACCCATACCTTGCCCCTGCCCTCCTTCCAGGATGACCCTCCAGCCCTCCCCTTCACATCTGGGGCCTGCCTCCCCCAACTGAAAATGGCAGTCAGGGCTCTTGTAGAGGGCCAGCACCCCAGCACCCCAATCCCAGGCAGCCCTCTCCAATGGGCCCCTCCCCTGCACTGGGCCACCCTTTGGCTCCACAGAGCCCTCCCTGCCTCCCCTCCCGCGGGGGCAGCAGCGGCCACATTTAGTCCCTCCCCTTCACAGCAGCACACCTGGGAATGCTGTGCACATTCACATCTCTGCTTTCTGCCCTCCTGCCACCCCAATAACGCACCCACCCAGTGCTGGAGGTTTCAGCAGGCCACCAGCCCTTCTCAGGCCCCTCTCAGCGCGGACTCAAGCTGCTTCCCCACGCCATGCGCCATACCTGGGCCCTGGGCCGCCAGCCCGGTGGCTGCGCCCGGGATCCGACTCTGGACTTCTCTATGTGGACGGTCGCGGGGCCACTCCCTCAGATCCCCTCTCCAGGCGGCACGAGCTAAGGACTCCCCACTCCTGCTCCACGCCAGCACCCCACAGCCTCGCAGCGACTCCCCCTGGGCCTGCAGGGCCTCGCCTCTCCCCACGCACCCTCCACACTGCGCGGCGCCCCAGCCGCCCGGAACCTCGGTAGTCTAGCTTCCCAACCAAGACCCAGCCTGCCCTCACGTCCTGGGCCGCCCGCCCTAGACCCCGCAAACCTGGAGACACTAGGACCCCGCGCGACTGCACGCCCGCCTCAAACCCGCACGCGCCCGCCCAGTCCGTCCTGAAGCTGGGCATAACCCTAAATGCAAGCCTATCCCTAGACCAGATCCTAACCCCTGACCCTGACCCCACCCCTAATCCTGACCCTAACCGTAAAACCAACCCTAACCCCTAATGCTGACCCGAACCCTAAACCCGGCCCTAACCCTGACTCTAACCCCTAACCCTGCCGGGAGGGCGCTCAGTCCCGGCTCCCAGAAAGGACAGCAGCACCCGGACCGGACGGCACCCCCGGAGGGACCCAGACTTGAGGACTCTGCTGCTCCAGCGCCCCAGCTCACGATCTTCCAGGACCAGGCGGGTCCCTCAGCGCAGCGCGGCCCTGTCGCTCTCCTGACCACGCCCCTCGTGGCCCCGCCCTATTCCCCGCCCCTGCCCCTCGCGCCCGGCCGGTCCCTTGCCCGAGTCCAGGCCCGACGCGCCTGCGCCTCTGACCACGCCCCTCCCCGCCCCTATCCCCGCCCTTATCACTCGGCCCCGCCCACGCCCCTTGCGGCGGGGTGGGAGCCCAGCCGCACACCGCGCATGCTCCGAGCGCGGCGCCCCCGACGCGGCGTTCGGCTCGGCTCGGGCATTTCCGCCTCTTTGTTTTAAACTCCGGACGGGCTTTTTTCTCCTCCTCTTGGGGGGGACCCAGAGGGAGCGGCGCCCCCTCCCCCCCTCCGGCGCGGACCCCGCGTGCGCCTTGCTCGCCCGCAGCCCCGAGACCGCAGGTCAGTGAGTCCGCCCCGCCTGGCCTGGGCCCGCGGCGCCCGCTCCTCAGGCTGCGGCCTCGGCCCGTGTCCGGCCCGGAAGGCTCCGAACCCCGGGCCCGCGCTCCAGCGTCCCCGTCGGCCTGGCCCGGGAAGCCCTTGGCAGGCCCCGGAGAGGGCTGGAGCCCGGGAAGGCCGGCACCCCAGCCCAGGAAGGACTCCGGGAGGTCGAAGACCCCAGCTCAGGCAGGACCCCGGGAGGGCCGGGACTCCAGCCTAGGCAGGATCCCGGGAGGGCCAAGACCCCAGCCCAGGCAGGACCCCGGGAGGGCTGGGGCTCCAGCCCAGGCAGGACCCCGGGAGGTCGAAGACCCCAGCCCAGGCAGGAACCCGGGAGGTCCAAGACCCCAGCCCAGGCAGGACTCCGGGAGGTCGAAGACTCCAGCCCAGGCAGGGCGCAGGGAGGGCAAGACCCCAGCCCAGGCAGGACCCCGGGAGGGCCAAGACCCCAGCCCAGGCAGGGCGCAGGGAGGGCAAGACCCCAGCCCAGGCAGGACCCCGGGAGGGCCAAGACCCCAGCACAGGCAGGACGCAGGGAGGGCCAAGACCCCAGCCCAGGCAGGACCCCGGGAGGGCCAAGACCCCAGCCCAGGCAGGACCCCGGGAAGGCTGGGTCCTCAGACCAGGCAGGACCTGAAGAGAGTTGGGCTCTGGGACTGCCAGGACCCCCAGAGTGCCAGGACACCATGACAGGTCATCCAGGAGGGTCTGACCCTGGGACAGGTCACCGAGAAGGGCTGGGACCCCAAGATGGGTCACCAAGGAGGGTCGGACCTGGCCACCTGGCAGGGCCCAGGGAGGGCTAGGACCCTGGGAAGAATCACAGAGAAGGGCCAGATCTAGGGACCAGGCAGAACCCAAAGAATGCCGGGACCCCAGAATAGGTTCCCCAGGAAGGTCCTGCCTTAATGTGGGTCACAGATGAGGGCCAGGACCCCATGACCATGACTCAGGAGGACCTGACCCTGGAGCAGTCCTGTGAGTCCTGTGAGCACTGCTCAGACCCTGAGACCACCCCATCTCCTCTGGGGGGCTGGGACCCTAAGACAGCCCTATCTCCCCCGGAGGCTCAGACCCTGAGACCACCCCATCTCCTCTGGGGGGCTGGGACCCTAAGACAGCCCTATCTCCCCCGGAGGCTCAGACCCTGAGACAGCCCTGTCTCCCCCGGAGGCTCAGACCCTGAGACCACCCCATCTCCTCAGGAGGCTCGGACCCTGAGACCACCCCATCTCCCCCGGAGGCTCGGACCCTGAGACAGCCCTGTCTTCCCCTGGGAGTCAGGACCCTGAGACTGGACAGAGACAAGGGCTCCTGACATGGACAGGCTCCTAGATGACCAGGACCTCAAATGGGGTCACTTAGGGTCAGAACACTGGTGTGGACAGGGAAGAAGGCCAGGCTCTCAAGGAGGACCTGATGAGAGCTGGAACTTCCAGACAGGTCCTCAGAGGGTGGGCACTCCTGAACAAGTCACTGAGGAGCATGTAGACCCCAAGACTAGACTGTAAGGAGTACTGGGACCCTGGAGGGGGGTTCCTGCAGTGTCCTGAATCTGCCCAGCCCCCTCAGCTGGACGCACCTGCTGTGAAGGCCAGGCATCTGGTATCCTGGTACCCGAGGCCCTTTCCATGAGACGCTGGGCCAGCCCCACAGCCCCACAGCCCCTGCACACAAACTGCCTAGGTGGTTCCTGGGGCAGGTATGAGCCAGGGGTTTCAGGGTTCCAGGAGCTCCCAGCCTACGGGCTCCATGCCTCAGGGTGGCACTGTGCTCTCCCCTCAGCCCCTTGTCCAGGGCTGCTGTCCTGTCCTTGCCTTGGCCATGGTCCGTGTCCAACACCTTCAACCCCTCCTGCCCCTCTCCCCATCTTCAAGGTCAGGTGAGTGCCCCGCTTCCTCAGTATAGAGGCGTTTCCTGTGTCCGGGAGACTCGGAGGAGGGGTGGGGTCTGAGCTGGGATGTGGAATCCTGGGCATATTTTGGGGACAATTGGTCCAAGTCAGGAAAGCTGGAGCAGGCAAGGCTGTTTCCCACTCCCTCTCCAGTAAGGGAAGGAATTAAAGGATCCTGGTGGTGGTGGTAGGGGGGGTGGTTTATTTCTCTGAAACCTTTGAATCAGCGTTTCATCGAGAACTTGTGGGTGTTTTCCTTTAATTTGGAAGTGGTAATGAAAAAGTGGGGTGCAGTTTTTATACTGCATGAGGTATTCAGAAGCGAGCGATCTATGCTGTCCTTTGACTAGGGAAGGGTTGTCTAGTGAGATCTTGTCAAGGGCGTTTCAAGAAGGTGGTCATCCCAGGAACCCCGCTCCCAGAGGGCGCCGTGTGGCTGCTGGGTGTGCCGCACGTTTTCCAAAGGAGTGAATGATGCATGAACGAGTGAATGAAAGGCAGGGTCGCTCTTCAGGCACATCCCCTCAGATTAGGCGTGCGGGCTTGCCTGGAAGTTGGGCAATAAGATGAGGTGTAACCCTAAAACTCTGAGCTATCTGGACTCCCAAGAGAGACACTGTGAATTAGATGGTTCGGGATTTCATCTCTGCTACAGCTTCACTTCCTGGTGACTTAGGAGAAGACCGTGTTAGGGTTTCAGCTTAACATTTCGGGGTACTCAGTGTCAGCCACATTGTGTCCCCGCATGGTCAGCCTGGGCCTAGAAGCTTTTACTCGCCCAGTGTAACCGCCAGGGACCTTTTTACTCAACATTTCCTTCCGATTTGCTCTTTTGACATATCCTTTACTGTTTTTTAAACTTCATTTGCTTTGTGCAATTGTGGAGAGGCTTGTGAAGCTGAGTGTTCAGGTTTGTTTGGGTCTGTGCTGTCTGGTTCCCAGGTTTTTAGAGGTGTGGCTGTGCTGAGTGGCTGTATTATTTATATATTGCTGTGCGGCAGATTACCCCAGAACCCATGACTTAAACCAACAGTCCAATAGTATCTTACTGTTTCTGTGGGTCGGGACTGCAGGCAGGCTCTGGCTCAGGGACCTCCCATCTGGGGTTGTGTCTCTGAAGGCTGGACTGGGGAGGGTCCGCATCCAGGCTGCGTCATGTGACTGTGGGCTGGAGACCTCGGTTCCTTTCTCTACATGGCAGCTCTGAGGGAGCCCATGCCAAGTCAGAGAGGGACAGGAAGGACGTCCCAGTCTTTGTGGAGTGACATTCTACCACTTTTGCCAAATTCTCTTTGCCAGGAGTCATTAGGCCCCTACACATTTGAGGGGAGGGGACTCCAAAACGGTGAGCATACGATGGGCAGATGGGGTCACTGGAACACCTTAAAGCCTGCACAGCGCGGCAGTGCCGTGAGCCTGGCACCTGTCAGGGCACCGGTGAGACTTCCTGTAAGTAAGTCAGCGATTGCATGTGGAGTCACGCATTAAGACGAGGATGTGACCATTCAGCTGTCTCTTTAATTGGTGCGGGTTTCTCCAGTGTCACCGTCATGACTGAGATATTTGTGATATGTAAAGGAAGATAAATTACAGATAGAAAAGATTCTTAGGAATTAACTTGTAATTTGGAATACCAGTAGCAAGCCATAAGACCCCCACAAATTAAATTGCAGGGTGTGTGTCACTGATGTCAAATTCTTTCCGACAGCTTCAGGTGCAATGATTGTACTTGTTCCCAGAGTCCCCTCATTTTCTTCATGCTAGTGATTTTGCTCCAGAAATTATCAACCGACTTCTGTTAAGTTTTCCTAAACCATTTTAAATATGTGGGGGAAATGTTTTTACTGGTTACGGTAGACCTTGTGCACGCGGTTATTTGTGACTTCATAAAAATGCCGTGGGAGACGTGAGACCCTGACCATGTTGGACATTTGACCTGTGTGAGGACTTAACTCCAGGGTCGAGGCACTACTGCGAGCCAGAGCCTCTGCTCCCAGCAGCCACCCCCGCTCCACAGGGAGCTGGACCCCATGCCTCCCTCGGGTTCTAGGCTGGAGCGAGGGCCGGAAAGGGGACCTGTCCTGGACTCTGGAGACCTCAGCTGCCCCCTCCCACCACGCTGCCCTCTCTAGATCATCAGCTCCTCCTGTGACAAAATCGAGGAGCTGCAGGGTACGGCAGGGGCCCTTTGCCACGGGCTAGAATTGTTTACTTGGGTTTTTTGATTTGGATTATAAAGTGAGCCTTGTTTTGATGTATACTGTTACTCTTTATTAAATGGCAGGATTTATTTTGTTTGCAGCCTTATTTGGTTTATGGTTAGAATTGAAGTTGAAAATGTAATTTTTCTACATAATTAGCCAAGCGTGTGTAATTTTTCTGCAAAAATTAGCTGGGCATGGTGGCAGGTACCTGTAATCCCAGCTACTCGGGAGGCTGAGGCAGAAGAATCGTTTGAACCCGCGAGGCGGAGGTTGCAGTGATCTGAGATCGCACCACTGCACTCCAGACTGGGCGACAGAGTGAGACTCTGTCTCAAAAAAATAAAAAATAAAATAAAAAAAGAAAATGTAATTTTTCTTTTACCATTGAAATATAGTGAGGTTTAGGGACAGTTTCCTATTGTTTATCTATTTTTTATTATGATATTTGCTGTTAATATTGTAAAAATAGGGTACAATTCATTGTGCTTCAAAAATTGAAATTATTTTTAATTTCATACATTAATAGTTTATCATTGAATTTTAAAAATGTGAGGCCTTAAGAAAAACAAAACAAAGCTACTTTCCTGATCTGCCGTGTTTCTCCCGACAAGAACTGAATTATGTAAACGCCAAAATGACAAAGAACAATAGTGAATGTTGCCTAGGTGCATTTTTGTAGAATTATCCACTAAATTAAGCAAAACTGCCATTGATAGGAACTGATACTCTCTAGAAAATATAGCCCTTCAACCTATTATTGTAATTGACTTGCTTTTTTTTTTTTTTTTTTTTTTTTTTTTGAGACGGAGTCTCGCTCTGTCGCGCAGGCTGGAGTGCAGTGGCCGGATCTCAGCTCACTGCAA